CCGATGTCACCAACCATCTCAAGGTTCAGCTTCTCGTCAGGGCTTACCAATCTCGCGGTCATCATACTGCAAAGATTGATCCTCTCGGTATTCGAGGTACCAACGACGCCAAGGGCTTCTCCAATATCAAGCCCAAGGAATTGACTCTCGAGCACTATGGTTTCACCGAGAAGGACATGGACACCGAGTACACCCTCGGCCCTGGTATCCTACCTCGCTTCAAGCGTGATGGCCGCGAGAAGATGACTCTCCGTGAGATTATCGATGCTTGCGAGAGAATCTACTGCGGTTCGTTTGGTGTTGAGTTTATTCATATTCCTGACCGTGACAAGTGCGATTGGCTCCGTGAACGTCTTGAGGTCCCTACCCCTTTCAAGTACTCTGTCGACGAGAAGCGCCGTGTTCTTGACCGACTTATCTGGAGTTCCAGCTTCGAGTCTTTCCTGGCCACCAAGTACCCCAACGACAAGCGATTCGGTCTCGAGGGCTGTGAGACCCTTGTCCCTGGTATGAAGGCTCTCATTGACCGCAGTGTCGACTATGGTGTCAAGGACATCGTCATCGGTATGCCTCACCGTGGTCGTCTGAATGTTCTCTCCAACGTCGTCCGAAAGCCCAATGAGTCTATTTTCAGCGAGTTCGCTGGTACAAACGGTGCCGAGGATGAGGGATCTGGTGACGTCAAGTACCATCTCGGTATGAACTTTGAGCGTCCCACTCCCTCCGGCAAGCGTGTTCAGCTTTCTCTGGTCGCCAACCCTTCACATCTTGAGGCTGAGGATCCCGTCGTCTTGGGCAAGACCCGCGCTATCCAGCACTACAACAACGATGAGAAGACTCACCGCACCGCCATGAGTGTTCTCCTTCACGGTGATGCCGCCTTTGCTGCCCAGGGTATCGTCTACGAGTGTCTCGGCTTCCACTCTCTCCCCGCCTTTTCTACCGGTGGTACCATTCACCTCGTCGTCAACAACCAGATTGGTTTCACCACCGATCCTCGATTCGCCCGATCTACCGCCTACTGTACCGATATTGCCAAGGCTATCGACGCACCCGTTTTCCACGTTAACGCTGATGATGTCGAGGCTGTCAACTTTGTCTGTCAGCTTGCTGCCGATTGGCGCGCCGAGTTCCAGCACGATGTTGTCATTGACCTCAACTGCTACCGAAAGTACGGACACAACGAGACCGACCAGCCTTCCTTCACCCAACCGCTCATGTACAAGCGCATCACTGAGAAGGAGCCTCAAATCGACATCTACGTCAACAAGCTCATCGAGGAAGGCTCTTTCTCCAAGGCGGATGTCGACGAGCACAAGCAATGGGTCTGGGGCATGCTCGAGGAGAGCTTCACCAAGTCCAAGGACTACACTCCTACCTCCAAGGAGTGGACCACCTCTGCTTGGAACGGCTTTAAGTCTCCCAAGGAGCTGGCCACCGAAGTTTTGGCTACTAACGAGACAAGCGTCAAGAGCACTACACTCGAGCATATCGGTACCGTCATTGGAAGCACTCCCGAGGGTTTCCACGTTCACCGCAACTTGAAGCGCATTCTTGCCAACCGAACCAAGTCTGTTGTTGAGGGCAAGAACATCGATTTCCCTACTGCCGAGGCTCTAGCCTTTGGTTCTCTCGTTACTGAGGGTTACCACGTCCGTGTCTCCGGTCAGGATGTGGAGCGTGGCACCTTCTCTCAGCGACACGCTGTCTTCCACGACCAGGAGACCGAGGATACCTACACTCCCCTTCAGCACCTGAGTCAAGACCAGGGCAAGTTCGTCATCTCGAACTCTTCCCTTAGTGAGTTTGGTGCCTTGGGCTTTGAGTATGGTTACTCGTTGTCCTCGCCCCACGCCCTTGTCATGTGGGAGGCCCAGTTCGGTGACTTTGCCAACAACGCTCAATGTATCATCGACCAGTTTATCGCTTCTGGTGAGGTCAAGTGGATGCAGCGAACCGGCCTTGTCATGTCTCTTCCCCACGGTTACGATGGTCAGGGTCCCGAGCACTCTTCTGGACGTCTGGAGCGATACCTTCAGCTCAGCAATGAGGATCCCCGTGATTTCCCCACTGGTGAGAAGCTTGTCCGTCAACACCAGGACTGCAACATGCAGATCGCCTACATGACGTCTCCAGCCAACTTGTTCCATATTCTCCGCCGCCAGATGCACCGCCAGTACCGCAAGCGTAAGTAAAAGGAATATTTCTTCTGTTTTCTACAGGTGCTAACTTGTCTGCAGCCCTCGTCATCTTCTTCTCCAAGTCTCTTCTCCGTCACCCTCTGGCTCGTAGTAACATTGAGGAGTTCACTGGCGAGAACGCTGGCTTTCAGTGGATTATCCCTGATCCTGAGCATGAGACTGGTGCCATCAAGGCTCCTGAGGAGATTGAGCGCGTTATTCTCTGCAGCGGTCAGGTCTGGGCTGCCCTTCACAAGCACCGATCCGAGAACAACTTGGACAATGTCGCCATCACTCGCATTGAGCAGCTTAACCCCTTCCCTTGGCAACAACTCAAGGAGAACCTTGACCAATACCCCAACGCCAAGACCATCGTCTGGTGCCAAGAGGAGCCTCTTAACGCCGGTGCCTGGAGCTTCACTCAGCCTCGTATCGAGACTCTGCTCAACAACACTGAGCACCACACCCGCAAGCACGTCATGTACGCTGGCCGAAACCCCAGTGCTTCCGTCGCCACTGGTCTCAAGCAAGTTCACATGAAGGAGGAGCGCGAACTCCTCGAGATGGCTTTCACTGTTAAGCAGGACAAGCTCAAGGGCGAGTAAGCGAACGAAAACTGAAGGAACAGGTTTAATGGGGGATTACAATATGGATAGTATGGTATGGCAATTGTATGGCCACTAATCGTTTGGGAGGCAAGAATTTATAAAAGCCACTGGATCTGGGGAGCAGTTGAGCTTCTCATGTTAACCACTTGTATCATACCTCCTATACGAAGGACATTCTTGCCCTACATTGGCATGGGCTTGGGAACGACATAGCATGATTTCTTTTTACTGTTTAAGTGTTCAGAGCACCTGACGGGTCGTTTCATTTTCTTCATCTGGCATTGCGTAGACGATACATCTATCTAACCTACTGATATTCACATGTGGTTCAAAGTGGAAGTGAGGGAGTTTATTTTCGGTTGTATGTGTTATTTCAACAAGATGCAATGCTACCTTGGCGCGTCAATCTCAACCTGCCACGGCCGTACGATCCCGTCATCGCCCGTTGTAACTAGCATCTCCTCTTCCCCGCGCCGCTCCGAGCCGGCATCGTATCTCCGGCACCAAGTAATATGATTAACCTCGAAGGGTCCATGAGCTCCGGGTCGCGAAGATAGGAGTCTCCAATTCGTCTGCTGTTGCTTGCTCTCCTCAGTATTACCCATGGTTTGGTCTTGGGTGTCGGGTGTCGTGACATGTTGCTCTGAGTCCTCGGCGTAAAGCGCAACGATCCCATCGCTGCCAGTACTCCCAACGAGCCCTGTCTGTGCACTCCATGTCACAGAATAGATATCGCGGGTGTGCACCTTGGGTAAGACAGATTTGCATGTCCACTCCTCTCGTAGAGATCTCCGCATAGTATTGGGGATTCCACCAAGAGCACCGGCACCACCTCCCGTACTATTCTCCTCCGCCTCATCGTCTTGCTCCAATGTCCACACCCTGATAGTGTTATCGGCAGAAAATGTCAAGAGTCGCGGGAAGCGATCTCCCTCCCGGGGTCGTGGCTCCCATTGAAGCCCCCAGACAGTGCCCTCGTGACCCTCAAGAACAGCAACACAAACCCATTCCGCATCGCCATCTTCTCGCCAGATGCGCACTGTGTTGTCATAACTTGCACTGGCTAGCACGTCGGCAGAGTAGCTGCGTCGAGCGTTGCGGCCAGGGACGTCGGGACACCAAGCAACAGCCTTGACATCGCCCTCGTGTTCGTTAAGCACAGCGATAGTCTCCCACTCGTCATCTTCCTCAGATCCGCCGATATCCTCCCATATCCAGACTGACTTGTCGCGCGAGCAGGTAGCGAGATAAGAACCCGAGGGGCTGAAAGCGCAAGACTTGATCTCCGAGTCGTGACCCTCGAGCACAAGCGTAAACTCCCACTCTTTGCTGGTAGCATCGCCATCATCGTCGCTATCATCATTGTTTCTCCTCCGCACGCTCTGCGCCGTGACCTCAACCTCCAATCCTCCATCGTTCTGTTCTTGGCCCTCCCAGCGCCATATTCCAGCCGTAGAGTCAAAACTGCCAGTGACGAGACATAGGTTGCCGGGGCGCAGATGGGGCTTCCATGCGACGGAGCGGACGGAGCGGGTGTGGCCTCCGGTAAGGACGCTGTGGGCCGAAGCAGTCGAGAGAGAAAACACAGTGACGGCCTTTCCGTGAGCGGTTGCGATCAGAGGAAGAGTTGGGTGAGGAACCGAGGCCCAGGCGCGTTCGTGAAGGTCAGGTTTGAGGGGCGTGAGGGCAGTGATGGAGGCCGAAGTCGGCGCCATGATGGACGGAGCCGCGAGGGCGAGAGAGCAATCGACGACGAACTAAGGGGACTGTAGTGTTTGAGAGTGTTTCTAGCTGGATTAGGCTATTTAGGTAATAACCAAGAAAGAGTCGAGGTGGTGAAGTTCAACTGTTCATTTGAACATTTCCCCTCCTTAGATCAAAAAGTTCATAATGTGATGGGTGGATGGATGGGGGTTGAGTGATAAGATAAGTACCACCTAGGTACCTTACCTATAACGTTAGTAGATTAGTACCTGGGTACTAGCGAGAACCCCTCCATTGAACCGGTGACGTACTGAGCATGGATCTAGGTAAGGTACTAAGCTAAATACAGAGACTCACATACCTAAGGTACTTAGGTACCTACCTACCTCCACTACATACTACGATAAACAGGTCGCATAAAAGAAGCAAATAATTACCGCACCAATTTTTACAAATTGAGCAGATAGAACAGATAGGTATGTACATAGATCTGCTGTATTTACAGCATCTAAGCCACCTTTGACTTGACCCACAACCAAGCCTCCTTCACATCACCTCCAGGTCTCAAGTTCTGCTCCCTTGCCCTTTCGAGACCTCCCTTTCTGAACCCTCCTGGAAGGAGAAGCCATATCAGAGTGATAGCACCAAGGAGCCCGACTATTATAGGCTGTAGAACTTGAACTCCGGTCTTTTGCGCAATTGCACCGACCGCGAATGGTCCCACAGCTGCACCACCTCCTCCGACCGCAGCCGCGAACCCGATGGCACTGACGTGATAATCAGCCGGAAGTAACTTGGTTGCAGCAACCATGGCAGCAGGGAACAGAGGCCCCAGGAAGAACCCAAGAAGTATGACGAAGATGACAGAGGCGACAAAGTTGGGGACAAGCCAGTACAGTAGTTCCAACCCTATGGAGAGCACGAGATAGACCGTGATAGCCGTCTTCTCACCAGTCCTCTCTGTGACGAAGCCCAAAACAACTCGACCCAATGTCAGCCCGAGCCAGAACAGGGTCACTATCAAGCCAGCAAGAAAAGGTTTGGCACGTCGTACTCGAAGCATAAAAGTGACAATCCAACCCCCCAAGCTAACCTCAGTCGCAACATATCCCAGGAGGAAGACGGCAACTATCCAGGTGATGGGCTTCTTGAGTGCCATGCGTGTTGTTGTACGCTCTTTAGCTTCGTCGTAGCGAACTCGCTGTCGATACACTTGGCCGGTTGCACCCCAGAACGCGGCAGTTCCGACAACAAGTTCAACCACAGCAAGTCCTATCATGATATAGTAGAAGGTGTGCCAGTTCAGTTTTCCCTCAGTTACCATGGCAGACGCGATCAGAGGGCCAATGGTACCGCCGAGGCCATAGGCACCGTGGAGGAAACCCAAGAGCTCGTTGGCTCTGTGCATGTTGCCAATCCAGGCATTGTAGCCACTATCTTGGATACCGTTACCGAAACCAGTAAACAGCATCACACAGGGTAGCGCTGGAAATGGAGGGTGAAGTGCCACAGGAATGTAGGCGATGAGGCGACAGAGAGGCCCAAGAACCGCAACGCCTCGTTGACCTAGGGTGTAGTGTATCCAGTTATTGGTGAGTGCAGCGACTACATAACCAGCTACGGGTACGAGAAAGAGAGTAGAGACGGTGGTGTAGTTGATGCCATAGTATGTCTCGATCTATTCACATTAGAAACGAGTAGTAGATGATTCAGTAGAACATACGCACGTATGGCAGCAGAGCCTGTAGGTAGATAGGTAGGTAGGTAGTTAGTTAGTAGACCGAGTCAGTCAATCAACGAAGCCCCAGGCTTGACAGAGGCAGTAACTTGACTTACCCCTAGAGATGCGTCATTCAAGTAACGATACAAGTTTACTCGAGGGTTGTTCCAATGCTCAAGCTCATTGATCGATTCTCCGCTGTCGTTGGTTCTCGTTTCGGGCTGCTGCACGGCCTCCACAGAGCCCAACTTCTCTTCTAAGTCGTCGTCATGATTTCGTTGTTGACTTTGCTCTATCTGGCAAGATTTCGAGTTCGGGTTCATTGAAGGATCGATAATAACCTTGAATGTTTTTCCTTATTGATTTTGTAGTATAGATACGTTTGTAGGAAGAGATACGAAGTCTCTTCGCACAAGACCGCATATACACGGCGCTACTATATAAGGTCGGGTAAATTTCTCGCTAGAATGAACAATGCATTTACCGCATGGAGCCGTTCGGGTACAGTACCTAGTCTACAGCATGAGAGATCCATACCTAGAGAGCATCCAATATCAAAGATTGGCTAATAATAAGGTGCTGGAAAACCGGGCGGGATAACGGGACGGTAGCCGAAACATGCTGCCGCCTAGGTCCCTATTACATATGTTTGAGTCTGATTTGAAGTCTTAAAAACACCATTGGATCTGGTGATTCATTTCCAAGTCGACCACACAGTAACATCAGCGGAACCAGTTCTGTCTATTATCTGTGGGTGATAGTCGGGCATTGTGTAGAGACACCAGAGCTCATACATCACAAGCAAGACTCTCAATTCCAGAGTATAGGTATCTTATGTTGGATAATTGTGATGAGATCACTGTGCCCGGACTCTGTGACTTTCATGGCTAATGACAACGGTGAGGTCAACTTCGACTCGGCCTCCCCTGGACCAGTTGGATTTTATTGGATATGGTTTGGGGTCGCCAAATGGAACAGCTGAAGAGAAAAGGGAACCTCGGAGAATTCTTCATCATAAGGTACCTAGTAGGTACCCCCAATGCACGTGTTGAATGAGGCTGTGCAACATAGGTCCCTACCTAGGTACCTACTAAGGTGCCTACTACTAAGTCATGAGATGAAATGCTACGCCACGAGCGGGGTCTTTTACAAACGTCATTGTATCCCCTTCGATAACACACACCACTTACGGAGTACATCCCCCAAACGTTACCTAGACACTTACATGGGTATTTACTTACCTAAGTAAAGTAGGTATCTAGACCAAACTGCTGCTGCGCCTCTCGCCACTCCAGCTCTTACAACTCAGCTACCTACCTACCTACCTACCTAAGGTAGGCTATGTAGTCTTCCACGCAGCTACAGGGCGTGTATTTGTACTCATAAGGCTGACATCCATCCGTTGAGTTAGGGTGTCTCTTCACTTTTGTCCACCTCATCATCAGCCACATAATATAAGTTTCCAACTTCCCCTCCTCTCGCCTACCTGTCTAACACCAGAACCAACCGTCTCATCCTGCGTTGCTTTACACTTGCTTGTATATTCCCCCATACCTACGATGTCAAAAGACTACTACGAGTACGAAGAGTACTCTCGTCGCCGACGTGACTTTTCTCCCGACAACTATTCCGGTGGTGCCCCGGGGTCTCAGCAACAAGGCGCTCCTCCTCCCCCTCCTGGCGCTCCTCCTTATGCCTCAACCTCCCGTCTTGATGATCCTTACTACGGCGGCATGCCTCCTCCTCCGCGGGAGCGCATGACCCTCGAGCCCCCCGAGTCACAAAACCGCCCACGATCTGTCCCACCAAACACCACCATGGTTCGACGCAGCCGCTCTCGTTTCCGTCCTCCCTCGGATGACGAAGACTATGATGACAGACGGAGCTCGCGAAACCGCTCACAAAGTCCCATCTCCCGTGCTCGGAATGTTGTTGATGAGAACTTCTCTCATTCCGCCGGCGGCATCGGCGCCGGTATTTTGGGAGCTGTCGTTGGTGGCCTTGTCGCTCGCGAGGCGACTGAAGCTGCAACACGCCGCAAGCACAAGACCCGAGGTTACGAAGACGAGAATGAGGACCGAACTCGTCTCGTTTCCACCATTCTAGGCGCTGTCGCTGGTGGCCTAGGAGCCAATGCTCTCGCCAACAGGGTTGAGGATTCGAGGGAGCGAGACCGACGACGCCAACTCGACTGGGAGCGTGAGCGTAGCTACGTGCGCGAGCAGGAGATGCCCCGCTACGAGCAACGGAGATCCAGTGACCGTGATAGAGAGGACGACCGCCGCGATCGTGATCGTGACCGCGACCGGTATGATCGCGGCAGGGCACTACCCCAAAACGATGATGATGATTATGACTTCGTCTACGACGATCCGCGATACGAAGATCGAGAACCTAGGCGACGTAGAAGCGAGGACAACTACCGCTATCGCCAATAGTCGGCCTTTCTTTTTACCCCTCGACAACCTATTACTGCTTCACAATGATCTAACGACAATATTTCTTTTGATTATGTTCTTCTTGGTTTCTTCTTCTCTTGGTTTGTTTTCAGTGATGTTTAAAAATCGCGAGCGGTATTAGAAGTGTTTTTCCATTACCATAGGCAGAAACATCAGTCTGGATGTTAACTTCTGGAGATCTCATGAGTTATGACTTGGCGCCTCTTGGATATACATTCGATACTGTTCGGCTTCTAAAGTGCTTACGGTGTCATGCATTAGTCCCGTGTACCTATGAGAGTCCTTTTTGACGAATTCTGGGGTTACTTCTCGTATCGATTTTACAATGTATTCGCACGCCATGATAACGATTACCGCAGAAATTACCTGCCCTGTTTGCAACTCTCCAGCTCCACGATGACGTGGTGTCCAACCAATTCAACTCAATCGAAAGCAACTAAGACCAAAACCATGACCCGTCACAAGTAACGAGTCCATTGAATCATATCCCTTCCTGAACCGCTGTCCACCGTCGCTCGCCCCGGTTGCTGGAGTTCCTGCCAGTGCCTCCAGTGTGTTCTCGAGCATCCTGCTCTCGCTCCACGATCACCTTGAAGAACTGAGCTATGTCAGCAAGCGCGCGCTGCTGATAGTCTGGGACATCAAGCATTTTAAAGGTTGATTGGGTGTCGACCAACTGCTTCGCAATCACAGAATCTGGCTGGCAAAGTGTCCGGACGCACATTGCTCTGGCATTGACCTTCATGGCGTGCAGGAGCCCGCCAATCTCAATAGGGTCGGCTTGTCGGCGGCCATAGAAGCGAAAATCGTCGACGTGGAGGTTGATAAGCTCAAGCTGCGTCTCCAGGTCGTAGCGGAAACCAACAACCTTGGGTCGGCCCTTGTTATGCCACGCATCTGCTACCTTCTTGAGCTTGTCAGGCACAAGCCGACCCTTGTCCAGTTGCACCGTAATATAGTCATTCAATGCAGTGCTGAGGTTGAACTCCAGTTCGCAGTAGAGAAGGCTTTGCTCTCTGGCATTTAGTGAGATGGCGACCTGTGATGTCGGGCGAGGCCGGATTGCGGATTGCACCCGACGAGAGGTATAATGAAGCTCCGTCTGCAGTTGAGTTAGTACAAACATCTGACGCTGCATCTCACCAACATACCATGTCTTTTGCGAGTTTCTTGATGTTGTCCAAAATTCTGGTCTTCTTCTGGGGCGTCTTTGAGCTTCGATCAGGGCCGCCGTCAGGACGTTCGAGCCACCCGTTGTCCCCAATCATTACTTTTTCGCCTTTCTTGGAGCTTGGGTAGTCTGTTCCTCTGAAATAGAACTGCAGTGGTGAGAATACGGGAGTGTCCTGAACAGTCCGACGATAGTTGCTGCTATCAGAGCCCACTGTTACGACTTGTGGGATCGGTGGAGAGTGCATTGCGACAGCTCGGGCCTGTCTCAATCCATCGGCAGAGCTCTTCGAGCGTCGAGGCTTATTGACCAGATCCTCTAGATGGCTTGCCGACTCCCTGATCATGGAGGAATCTTGGCTCCTTTTCCACTCTTGGAATGAACCCTCGCCAGTATCATTGAATTTGGATTGTGACCTGGCATGGCTGAGGCGAAGAGGTGATGGGCGTGCAGTTTGTTGAGGGGAGTAGATCGAAGAGGCATCATCGTCGAAGATCGGCCCACGCTCAAAGCTTCCCTGCCCCAAAGGAGAGACTGCATCGGGAATATCTTCCATCTCGGCTGGCCGAAGAACTGCCCCACTACGACGTATATTCCCAAGATGCAACGGAGAAGGCGGGTTGATATGTCGACGTGCTGCTAAACTGGCAGAGAACAAGTCTTTGGAAGAGCCCGAATGGCGACCCGGCATAAGCTCCGAAAAGGTTGGAGAATTCACATCAGAGGGACCATCTTCTCTAGCAGTCCAATCGTATGAGTCCTCATGTTGTAGAAGCCTTGGTTTATTCTTTCGTGGTGTTGACCTTGGAGTCGTTCTTGGAGTGGTCATTGTAGACTTTTTCTTGAACTTAGCAGTCTTCTTTGGGCTCTTATCGACTTGATGGCTGAAGCTTCAGAATGATTAATTGGAGAAAGAGATTAATAGAAACATATGACATACGCGTCCGTAATCTTGTCAACTTGGCTCTCAGTCAAGTTCATGCGAATATGAAGAGGTTGTTTGACAAGACGCTTGCGCGGAGATAGCGAACGTGCTCGCGACTCAAATCCTGGTGAGATATCCAGGAAGTCTCCTCTCAAAGGCGTCAATACAGATGCTGAAGGGTCAGAGTAGCGCCCTCTGTTCGAACTGTCTTGTTGCATCGAGCCCAGAATCTCGAATCCCAGTAGCTACTTGACAGTAGCTCCGAGTGATACAGATTGATAGTGATATCACGGTCGAGGTTCAGGCAAAGTATTTGAACAGAAGCCAGGAAACAAAACCAGGAAATGAGCAGGATGAACAAATGAATGAATGAATCAGAGACTTCAGTTGGGCCAGCCCAAAACTTGGGTGCAAATTGTGGTCAGCTGGCAACAAGTGTCAACGGCATTGCAACACTCGCGAGCCTCTGACGCGAGTTTGGGAGCCTGGTACCGCTTCATTTAAGTCTTACATATGCTACCTTTCTGTCAAATTGATCTGCGAGTCTCCAGCAAGGCTTGTTGGAGACGCTCACCTCATGTGCTTGTCACAATTTAATATACCCTGCAACACCGCCAGGAGTATCAGTTGTAACTAATGAGAGCGGTGTTTCCATCTGTAATCAATGCCACTGTCGAACCAAAGCTGAGGCGTGAAAGGGCCGTGGAACCTCCAGGAGTTCAATACCCCTTTTGTTGACGAGGCAGTTACCATATCCATTGCTTTGTCTTCGGCTACTGGCAGTTCTCTTATGAAAGGCGGAAGCGACCTGTCGCTGGTGAATAACCCAAACTTCCTCGCAAAGTTGGCGTTGGGTATTTCACAGTCCGTGACATAAGCATCGAACTGCTGTTTGAGTGCGTGGTGGGCCAGAATGGTGGAATGATCATCTTGGATCAGTGCAGGCTTTTTATTCTCGTTTTTTCCGTTTCCCTTGTCTGTCACGCGGAATATATGTATAATTTGATTCATCTTCTCCGAGCTGATGATTTTGGAGCTTAGTGATCGACGGTGATGAGATCGCTCAGTCTGTGCCTGATGCTTTTCCGTGGCTCTACTTTTGGGTAGTTCGCCGAGGTCAATTGACTTTTCACCGACCAGTCTGCCCTTATGAATCATATTCTGATTCCACTGCATCTCGTGAAACTCTCTGGCCTTGAGCTGACGAAACGCACGGGTACCACTGTCACGAGAAGAAACATACATCGTATGTTCTATCATCCAGTTCTTTCGTATACCGATACCGCTTGGGTAAAGCGATGACCTTGCTATTATAGGTGAGTAGTCTGAAAGTCGAGTGCGATATCTTTGAGGGTGGCTTTTTCTCCACTCTGTCAAGGCAGTTGTCGGTATAATATTGGACGTAACAGTTGTGAGGTGCGGAACATGAGGGAGTTCAAGATCAGTCTGCGCCTTTTGTCAGAACTAATCATTTTCATGAGTCCAATTGAGGGCTTTCCACATGTCTGTTCAAGTGATCATGTCTCCAACGCTGAAATGCTGCACCTGGGTCATCCGAATGATGGCAATCGACTTCGATCATCTCGTAGAGTACGCCTCCTGCGTATCCAAGGAACTCATCGCCAAGGTGGTCTCGTAATACGAGAAAGACCTAAATCAGGTCAGAGAGCTTTTTTTTTTTTGTCGTTATGCAGGCATCTGACAAGCCGGATTCCATCACGGTACTGGTAGTTGCGAGGTATGTGGGCGCAATATCTCACAAGAACGTTGCGGCATTCTGCGGGATCACTGTTAGTCAACGTTCCAAGTTCATCTCATGCCTACACTGACTCTCTTCATCAAATATATCTGTGATGTTCAAGGACCGGTCTCTTGCGAGATAGGCAGAGAATTGGGTGGTATCGCCCATTCCCATATCACTTGGTATTGAAGAACCGTTCGTTTAAGTCCGATTCGCAGCTTACAAGCTTCGCAAGTGGGTAATTCGCAAAATATATCGCGTTTCGACATTCAATATGTGAACTTTTCTATTTGTTGTAAGAATGAGGGCACAAAACAAAGATACCGTCAACCCAGCGGAAGGGACATCTTGAGCTTGTGCTTCCAGTGCAACGACGCTCGTGATACATATATCGCCTGGGCTATTGAAAGAATAGGTAGCGGCTTCCATTTTCAAATACTCGGCACAGGACAGGGAAGTTCAAAGACAGGGTTCCTTCTACATTAGACTCTAGGGTAGTTAGGTATATGTGTAGGTACCTTGGGTGAAGCTGAAAATGGTTCGGTGAGGCATGAAAGCAATTCTGTATCAAAGGTGGTGTCATGTAGGTTGCTGTGCTTTCCAGCAAAGAAACGATCAAGCCAATGGGACGACTCCTTCTTATGCACTCGCCCAATGAAGGTTACCTATTGTCTAAGGAGAATCATCCACAGTCAAAATTTCTAGTCCAACATGACGAGCGGAATTCCTTACACGCCGTAAATTGAGAACAGGATTAGGACCTTCACTTCTCCATCCAACATAACCCCAGTCAATCACTAACGCCAGACCGTTCATTGTCAGATAGGACTGGATCTTGGAGAAATGAGATCTCGGCCTCCTGCCCGGCATTTGAAGGACCCACTCCCGGGCGCTGCAGCGCGACCTATTCCACGGGTGCAGTTAAGATATGTTAGGATCTAGCAGCATCCCATGGCCCAATACTTAACAGGCTCCAACGTTCCCCGGCGCCCCTGCAACCGAGACAAAAGCCGGACCCGGTTGCGGCTTCCCGAAATCAACTCCCGATTTCCCAAATAGGCAGTCTTGATTCCCTGGTCTCCTCTTCGCCCCAGAAACCCCACACTCAAGACAGCTCGACCCATGACGACAAGTGATTATTTCGTCTCGCCAAACCACGAAGCGGATATTTTCCGTTGGCCAGAACATTTCGGCCAGAATGTCTATCTAAAAACAATGCGCCATAGAGCAGATATGCACTCCACATCCCGTACCGAAGTCTGATGCCGTCAATTCCCCTCGGGTCTGAGTCGCACCGGACTTCTGCTTACTACATGTCCGGCCAGACCCCCGGCATCTCTGGATATCATGCCTATCGCATTTAGCATATAATATGCGACCCCCCATCAACTCTGCCTTTTGTTTCCTCAGATTGATCACACCAGTAGATACCTAACTAACCAAACCACGCCCCTTCTTCTCCACAATGTCTCAATCACAGTCCGATCGCTCCCCATACTATGACATTGGTGAGTAGTCTGGCGCTGTTGCCTATACCAACCAATTGAATGCTAACATCACTAGTCATTGTTGGAGCTGGCCCGGTCGGCCTCATGCTCGCAACATGCCTTGCTCGCTGGGGTTACAAGATCAAGCATATCGATAACAGAGCTGAGCCGACCCCTACCGGTCGAGCCGATGGCATTCAACCACGCTCTCTGGACCTTCTTCGCAACATGGGTTTAAAGTCAGCAATCATGGCTCATCACCCAGCTCGCGTCTATGAAGTTGCATTCTGGGATCCAGCTTCTTCAGGAAAGGGTATCGCCCGGACTGGAACATGGGCCAGCTGCCCTGATTTTATTGACGCTCGATACCCTTTCACAACCTTGTTGCACCAAGGTCTGATCGAGCGTGTTTTTATCTCCGACCTCGAGAAAAATGGAGCACAAGTCCAACGGCCATGGACAATCAAGGGTTTTACATCCGATGAGAAGTCCAACCCCGAATACCCCGTCACTGTCGAATTGGAGCATGTCGATGGTACTGCCCAGGAGACCATTCACGCCAAGTATCTGTTTGGTGGCGAGGGTGCAAGGTCATTTATCCGCAACCAGCTTGGCATTGCCGTTCACCACAAGGATCCCATCGCCCATGTGTGGGGTGTCATGGACGGTGTCGTGAAAACCGACTTCCCTGATATCAAGGTAAGCTGAGCTGCTCAAGCCCTATTTCATGGTTTACTAACGACGCTCAGATGAAATGTACCATCCATAGTGAGCACGGCTCCATTATGGTTATTCCGCGAGAGGACAACATGGTCCGTCTTTATATCCAGATTGCATCGTCTACAGATCCCGATTGGAACCCCAGACGAACAGCCACCGAGGAGCAAGTGCAAGAATCGGCAAAGAAGATCTTGCAGCCTTACTCTATTGAGTGGGAGCGCGTCGAGTGGTACTCTGTCTATCCTATCGGACAAGGCATTTCAGAACGATACACACTGGACCAGCGAGTCTTCCTTGGTGGAGATGCTTGCCATACACATAGTGTAAGTCCCCTCGTGCTCCAATTATCACCATGCGCTGACACACCCGTAGCCCAAGGCCGGTCAGGGAATGAACACGGCATTCCTTGATGCCCAGAACCTTGCTTGGAAGATCCACGCCGTTGAATCCGGTTTCGCCAGCAGGGAAGTCCTCAAGACATACGAAACGGAACGCAAGCATGTCGCTGAGTCTCTCCTCGATTTTGATAACCGATATGCGAAGCTCTTCTCTCAGCGACCACCCGCAGCTGCTGAGGTCCAGGCAGCGTCAGCCAACCATGGAAAGAACGATGGCCAAGATAACGAGTTCATCAATGCTTTCAAGGAGTCGTGCGAGTTCACCAGCGGTTACGGTGTTTACTACAAGCCAAACGTCTTCAACTGGTCACCAGAACATAATGCACAATCTCCACTGATTCACCCCAAGGGGACTAAGCTACGAACCGGCCGCCTTTTTATCAACTCGAATGTAACGAGAGTAGTTGACGCCAACGTTGTGCATTTGGAGCAGGAAGTACCTTTAAACGGCGCGTTCCGATTGTTTGTTTTTGCAGGTGTCCCATCAAAGACCCGCCAGGCTTTGAAAGATTTCGCCAATCATCTCGGTAGCCAGCGGTCGTTCTACGCAGCTTATCAGCGGCCCGATCTCGACAAGGTATCATACCACGAGAAGCACCTCCCACACAGCCGATTCTTTACTATCTCTACGATTTTTTCGTCCAAGAGACCTGAAATCGAAATCTCTCGCGATGTGCCTGGAGTGCTTGCCCGGTATAGGGACCATGTTTACGCTGATGACCGGTCCGATGCACGATTCCCTCGGGCGAAGGCTGTAGCCCATGCCAAAATGGGCCTTGATGAAGAGCTTGGTGGAGTGGTCGTTGTCAGACCTGACGGATACGTAGCAATCGTGGTCAGCCTTGTAGAAGGTAGCGGAACAGTGGATGCTTTGAACGAATATTTCTCTACCTTTTGCACAAAGAAGTTGGGACCTACTTTGGCACAGCTGTAAGTACAGCACTGAGGGGATGGAGACTGTTGACCCAAAAGGTTATCAAGACACGCTGATTTTATGTAAATGATTGCTTTAGCGAATGTACATGTAGTTTTTAGATGATCCTGCAATTGAAGTTAATGCATACGTTTACAAAGAAATGAAGCTCTCGACGAAGCGATTGAGAGGTGGCCATGTCTCTACCCTACCAGAAGCTCAGCAAATCAATCGCGAACTATGCCATTGCATCCATATCCGTGAGCGCCAACAAAACCTGATAACCCCAGACATGGGGATTAGTGATCGAGAACTCGGCTTTTGGAGAACAATTATAACAACCAAAGTATGTATTGATTTACTTGTTTTTGTCCCGTAAATCTCTTTCCTACTAAGCTACCAGGGGGTAGATTCATAACTTGATAGATAGAACAAGGAGTCTTTGTCCTGGTTTTTTCTAAAGTGTCAGGTCTTAGATAGGTTGCTTAGTTAGTTGGTGTATCACTATACCTTAGTAAGTAGGTAGGTATGAAAGCCAAAGTACTGAGTTTTATACAGCCTCAGGATCAATCAACTGAGATCTGTTCAAACTTCTCACTCCTACTCTCGCGCACTCAGAAGCCCCATTTAAGATAACAGTAGCATCCATCACTATCGTTTCCATCATGCTAGACCGGATAGTTAGCTCCTAAGGTCATACCTACATATGGTAGTAGCTTACGTTGTACTCCGTAGTAAGGTAAGCTACCTAGGTACGTAAGGCAAAGTTAGTACCTACAGTAGGTACTTGAATTTGACCAATCGCGGCGACGTCACGCGTAGCCCCGCCTGACCTGTCAGTGCGGGCGCACTGACCTCCATCTGCACGTCCTGAGAGGTTGAAAGACTTCATGTCTTTCAACCGACCACTGTAGGCAACCTTCCACAGCGACATCATCCCCTACGGGCTCGCGTGGTCGTGATGGCATCACCGGAACGATTTGGATAAAGGAAACCTAATTGGGAAGTAGCAACCCGACGCGACGCCATTGTTGTCGCGCTCACGCGTCTTGGGCCCGAGCTCGAGTGATCTTGCGTGGTAGAAAACGAACTCGATTCTTCGACTCAAACCCTCCTCCTTTCCTCCCTCAACCATCAACATCAACTGCAGCTTCGATCAGCTTCATTTTGACACGCTCGTAACTTCGATTCTTGTAAGGACAATTTCGCATTGGCTTCGCAGCTTCCCGATTTCTTTCGATTCAGCGCTTATACTTCACACTTGACACTGCTCGACACTGCTCGACACTGCTCGACACTGCTCGACACTGCTCGACACTGCTCGACACTGCTTGACACTTACTGGCACCTGCACCACGGTTTGCTTCTGCTTTATTGTCACTGCGATACAATACAACAACAGCACGTTGCTGGTAGCCCGGGTTGCTTTGTTGACGTCGCATTTCCCTGTCGGCTGTTTACTTCTTTCCTCGGTTGCCAACTGGATCGCGATAACTTCGTTCCACCACTCCACTTCATTCACTTCAACTGCGCTTCACTTCACTTTTCTTCTTTCACGAACACTACTGCTTCGTCTGGACCAAGTTCCACATTACCCTTTCTTTCTACATTTCACTTGAAACCCAATATTTCGCTCGTCATGTCTTTCTCGCTTGAATCGCGCATTTCGGTCCACCAGTCCGCTAATCAAAAGGGAAGCTACGTGCCTTGGCATATCGTGAAAGCTGCCGAAAGACGACGGGAGCGGCAGCAGCTACAGATAATCTCCAAGTCTAAAGCAACTACCCAGGTTCAAGTCTCCCTGCCTTCGCCAAAGGTTGAGTTTGTTACTCCTCCCAAGCAGATCAGGCGACCTACTGCGCGTCTTTTGATTGACTCACCACTTCCGCGCCGCGAGATTTTTCAAGATCCGGTTCTTCGCCAAAGATTCATTGACACAGAGTCTCCCCCCAATCTTAATCGTTACAGTAACCAAAAACCCCGACACAAACCACAGGCCGAAACTGTCAACACAAATGACGGGGACCTCAGCACACCCACACCCAAAACTTCTACGACCTCTCTCTCCATCTCTGACCCCAACCTTGTTGTTGTCGATGGCATACAGACACGCAAGCGTCGCGCCGAAGATACTGAGATCGACCTTGTTGCCGCACAAATCGGTGTCACTGACACTTCCACCCCTATTGTTACTCTTCGCCAAGGAGAGACTGTTCCTAACAAGGAATCTGGCCAACAGGCCCATGTAAGCGCCTCTCTTGTTATTTGCATGCTTGCCCTTACTCACCCGATACCGCAGACCCCTAGCCGCATGCTCGGAATCACAACGGGCGCCAGATCTATCACCAGGATGATATCTAGCCTCTATTCGGCCTTCACAGGCATTGGTGAGACGATCACCAGAATCTGTAAGTTTCAACCTCTCCATGACATAGAAAGCCTCATGTTATTTGTGTTCTAATTCGTTACTAGTACGACCTCAGTCCTATCAAATTGCAGAATGTCGCTCTTACTTGAGTGAAAACCAAGTCAGCAACAAGCGTGTCAAGATTAGCACCAGTTGTGACGACAACGCGGTCTCCAATACAGGCGCTCCCAGGCAGAGTGCTGGGCTCCGCTGGATCGACCAAGATGGCCTTACCGCATTGCTGGCTGACTATAAGTACTTCGCCAAGTCCTTCATGACAGTCTGGGAATGCCTTGAGCAAGGAGCCCGACAGGAAGCAAACAAAGACCTGGCACCACTGAGCACCGACATAGTCGATGCCATCAATCGTTATGAGGCATTCAACCATGACTTTTACGATATCTTCACTTTGCAACTGCAGAGGATTTATGACTACTTGAACAGAATCTACGAAATCGGTGTTATCGTCAAAATTCGGGACAGCAATGAATTTGTTCCTCCTGTTCTTGATTACGGACTCTCTGCAGAGTTCGCCGCACACCTCGAATCGATGAAGCACTTTCTATCCGGTCCCGCGCTTCCTGTTGTTTGCAACAATATTCTCAAGAAGTATGGGGAAGATGACTGGAACGTTTCACAGGCATTCCTGGATCGAGTTGTGCTTGATATTAAGGCTATCCTTCGCAACCTTCCTGCCCCAAGCTATGTCGACTCTGAAGAGTATCGTGGCAAGCTACAGGACATGTTCCCTACCCCACCACGGACTGACCTCGAGACACGTTTCTTATTGCCAGGATCATTCCCCGAATCCGATGAGCTTAAGGAGCGCATCGGCAAAAAACCTGATGAACAGACTGCTTCACCCACTGAGGCAGCAGCTACAAAACCCACCGTTCAGGCTACCCTGCCTGAACCAGTGCCATCGTTTCCTCGCCCTGATGTCCCTCGCCCTCACTACTACAAAACAGACTTTCTTCGCGCTGGGTTTGCTCATGAGAAGATCAAGCGGATAACACCCGCGGATTATCGCCAAACATTTTATGAGGAAAGCAACGAACATCAAGCCCTAAAGACCAAATACATCACCGACTTCACTCCAAAGGTTCCTCTTACCTCAAATGAAACCGGAACTCTCCGATCTATTCTTCGGAATCGACGAAAGCATCCATCAAAGGTCACGCCCAAGCGTCTTCGCGTAACATGTCGACCTAAGGCTGTACGCTTTACGGACGACACCATCAGTCCGAAACCAAGAACACATCTGGGTCTAGATGTACCCAAGCAGATTAACTACGACAAGGAAACGGGAGAGGCCATTCCTCCGACCCAGGCATTTCAGGAGCAACGCCCTCATTGGACCCGTGGATGGCTCAACATACCACCTGCTCCCTCCGAGGAGCCACCCAAAAAGACCACATTCAATCCTTTTAGCATTGATGAATGTCTCCGCCGTCGTCGCTTAGAAGAGCACGATGGACGTGACTTTCACACGCGTATCAGAGAGATATTTGAGCTTCCCTCCCTCGATCTCCAGATCAGCGACGACTCAAAGGCCGGAATTGACCATCAAGTCCAAGAGGCCACCCAAAAAGCTGCTGAAGAGGCTCGTTTGGCTGCTGAGGCAGCACAGCGTGAGGCGGAGGAGAGGGCTCGGAAAGAGCGTGAGCAACGCCTCGCTCGATCTGGAGGACTTCGCGAGCCTAATCAGACATTCGTGGCACCAGTCTCACCGGAATGGCACACAAGGGCAATGAACACACTCAATGCTGCATCGTCCACGAGCCTTGCGAAGTCTGCCGAGGGTGTCGACCTCCGAAAACACGACTTTGCCAAGATCGTGTCCTCAACTGAATGGCTAAACGACGAAATTGTCAACGCGTCTCTTGTCTGGCTCGATCGAGCTATCAACTCAGCTGCCGGCATTAAGGATGTCAAGCGGAACACTCGCAAGATCTGGACTCCGGGCTCATTCTTTTTCAAACGTCTTCAAGATCAGGGCACCGGCAATACCCAGAGGACACTGCGCCGATATGGCATCGAGAAACGAAATTTTCTCGACATTGACACTATTCTCTTACCCATTTGCGAGCATTCCCACTGGACATTGCTGGTTATTCGTCCCTCCAAGCGAACTGTTGCCCACATGGACTCGATCAATGCAGGCGGCAACCGTTCTTACACCGCGCGTGCCATGGCGTGGATCCGAGACATTTTGGAGGAGAAGTTCGTTGAGGATGAATGGAAGACCATTCTCCACGAGGCTCCTCTACAGAACAACGGCCATGACTGCGGTGTTCATACTATCACCAACGCTATGTGCCTCTCCTTGGGCATTAGTCCTATTGAGGCATACACTGCTGACGACATGCCCACTCAACGTATTCGCATCGCTTGCATGCTTCTCAACGGCGGGTTTACAAACGAGTTCGACCTCCGAGTTTACTAGGATTCTAATACCACGTATCGGATAGCACTTATCAAATACAGACTACTTTATCATGGCTTATGGATGGGACAGGCATAGCTTTTTTGTACAAGGCGTTCAGGCAGAGAGAGTACCGGGGAAAAGTGTTTCGGGCGAGATACCACTGCATTGCATTCATTGTCGGAGTCA